GGGATCCACTCTCGCGACGGGAATCTCTCGTAAAGTAATTTCGCGAGCGTTTATGTTTATCCATTATCCCGTCTATTACGCGGGCACATTACGCGGAGGCGAGCTGCTGCTACGGGCGCTCTTCTGAAAATTTCCGATGTAGTATCGAGAAGTATCCACGAAGTTGTTCCCGATTTGTTGTCTCGACTGGTAGCTCGACTTACGCTTCCTACAATCCATTCGAAACTGCTCAAACTTTCAACCGACGACAAGAGGACCGGGCAGCGAGAGAGCAAGGGGTTAGTAGGCGGCCCGGCTTCTACACACACACACACATAGCCCACCACTCTCGCTCCCTCTTTTCCTTCCTTTATCCTTTGTGAAACGACACAGAAGTGGAAGCGGACAGTTACATTGCTGGTAGCGATCGGAATCCGTGACCCCGATATACCCGGCTAAGATCGATCGTCGACCGTCCCCATACGTTTGCGCTCCGCTTTATTTTATAGCGTGTCGCCAACTTTCAGGAGTCACCTCGGGGAGTGTCCTGAACTGAAACAGCGTCGCCCGAGACACAATATTAAAGCTCCCGGATATATACGAGATACGGCCACTCCGAAAGCGTCTATCTCGCGGATAAAGATACTTATGCGTCGCATTTAGGAGGTGAACGCGTAGATTCCGATGCGGTTCTCTCTCTCTCTCTTTCTCTCACGGAGAATGTGCGCGCAAACTTTGACAAACGATCTCCCGAGTCCGAGAATCGGCATGCATGTACGTAAAGTTATTTAAATGAAATTCCGAATAATCGCGGATCAAGTCGGATCGTCTGCGAATAATTTATTCCCCCTATCCAAGTACACGCGATTTCCTTTCTTACACCGCACACACTCGTCCGGTAAATTGACGTTGGCTGCCTCAGCTCGTAGACGGTACTGGAAGTCGATCGGCGAAAAGTAGCAATATAAATCAAGCTGTATGCAACCTGACTTCGACGTTGATTGGATTCCGCGTTGGGCGGCGGAAAAAGTTTTCAGTCGCGTTCCGATTCCTCCCTCGCTCAGGAAAGTTGCTCCGATTGAACTCCGGCTCGGCCATTCGAATACGATGTTACTCCCTGGCGCATCTAACGAATGGATTTTCGGTTATTTTTTTATTTCCGACGGCTAATCTTCTTAGGTGGAATCGGGGTTCGAGCGGAAAAGGAGCTTACACGCGACAAAGTATAAAGAAAGACGCAATGAGAAAGAGAAAGAGGGGGGGGGGGGCAGCGGGGGAGACACAAAAAGGGAGAACGCGCGAGAGGGAAAACCGGCGACCTAAATTAAGAATTTAAATATCTTCATGCAACCCTCATGTAATGTCCGCGAAACGCGAAAAATACGAGACGCGGCTTGAGGATTATCCCAGTACTTTAATCACATAGAAACGGGTCTCGAGTATAACTTTAATCAGTCACATCTCTACCGAGCGCATCGCCGCGGTACACTGGTGTTTTATCACTCTTGAATGCAGATTAAAATACTTATAATATAAAACAATGACATAAAAAATGTATAATATAAAATATAATATAAAGTAACTCTACACTCGTTCGAGGAATCAAACGTTATTATTAATTAATTATATGAAAAAAGTTAAAATGTTTCACAATGTTTCTCTTTCGATGCCGAAGGGTTTAAAAAACGAGACAGATCGTCGCAATCGGATCCTCACTAAAACGTAATCGTGTTTCCTCTCATATAATGCGTATCTTAAGACGGTTCCGGAGGAAGGCCTTTCCTCCGGGTAACGAAATTCGTACGAGCCGTAATTAAGCCGTGAAATATCGCCACGACTACTTAGCCACCTTTGTAACACTAAATCAACCAAATCTAACTTTCAACGGTGCTACGTTTATATATCTTAGTTGCGCGAACAAAGGTTCGTATTCACATCGTAAATTCAACGTTAAATCTCTTTCACGTTCCGAGATAGCATTGTACGCAATTTCCATATGACATAAATAAAACCCGGAGGATCGGGCGGCCGTATGCTGCTCCGGGTCTGGAGATATGAATACCGACCTAATAAAATTGCCAATCTAATCTTTTCTTTGTTACGTGTCTCCCAATTTCCCGTGCTCGACCGCGTCTAGGAAAAAGGTTATGTTTAGATCAATCTGCTCAGAGAAAATGACGTACTGTATACACTCAGAGAAATGACTTAAAAATCAATTTATGTCTCTCCCAACACATTATTAATCGGCTGCTTTCAGCGTTGTCTAATCCCTGTTTACGATTTTTTTTTTTCTAAAATACAGACATTAAAAAATATGAGTGATATAGCTTGTAATAATTTATTAGCCTCGAACTTGATTGATAAATTGTTTTGAAATGTTCTAACATCTCTTTTTTTCAAGTACGATGCTGCCAGCAACATTAGGCTAGCAAAACACGGGTTTTCTTACGACGGGACAACAATGTATTAAAATCGAGGAAAGTCCAGTTATTTTGAGGAGTGATCGAAGAATCGGGATAAAATCAATACTACGCAGCCACGGCAATATTGCGCCATATCGTGCATGCGCTCTTGCGCGACTATTAACGCGTCTTGCGATTAACACCGCTTCGATAACAAGGTTGGACGCGACGAAGCATCCGACGGAGCGCTACGCATTGCAAGGAGGAAAGAGAATAAATAAACAAATGAACAAATAAAGAAAAAGGGGGAGAGAGGATCGCGCACTGTTGCTCTGCAACACGCTAATGAAAGGAAACACGCGAGCTGAGCGACCCCGCTTTTATTCTTTCTGTCGCATCCCCTCGCAAGATCCGGCTGTCCGTTTGCACGAACGTGCGTTTCGGCGGTCTCGCCGAGCGTGCGACGTCGTCTCGCGATCCCCGGGCGCGATATCCGCGCTCGGCAAATAATTGACTTCTGGACCGGGTTTCCCGACGCCGGAGAAAAGCCATTACCGGAACGATTCGATTTCCATGGGCCGATAAGTTGATATCGATCTGCGGCCTCGCTGCCGGCTCCCCCGTCGATATCTTTCCGGATTAACGCGATTCAATTCCATCCGCGGTTCCCTGCGGAACACAAGCCGCTGCTGTAACGCAGAAGAGAGCTCCGCGATCTTCTTGTTGCTACAAGCGACGGTTAGGTCGAACACTGACCGAGTCGGTGTCTTTTATCGGTCCTTCGAACCGGCTGTACGAACAATTCTTCCGATGTCCCCGGAAAATCGGGAAAAAGGAGAAAATTGAGCGTGTACTTTTTTGGGTCTTTTTTTTTTAGGAACAATGCCGAGCTAGTAGAAAAAGTTTCTACACTCTCCGAGTGGAAAAATGTTAGAGAAACCTGCGTCACTGCGCAGAAACTGAATTGTTTTTACTGGCTTGAATTAATTAGTAACTGTTCAGAAACTGTCCGAAAAATATTGACTGTTATTTCTCGGTCAGCTACTTGTCAAAAACTATTCCAAGAAAACAGTAAGTTAATATAGTTTCAGTTTCCAACGAAAACTCTTAAAATTCTGGCTAGTGTTTCTCGGCCATTTCCTGGCCAGAAACTCGGCAAAATAATAAACAAATGAAATGCTCAAAGTCTTATTAGGAACTGGTCAGAAACTGATTAGTTTTACTATACAATTATCGTCAAAGCAAAAGTCTCCCAAACTTATAAGTTTTTGCCAGTAAAACTGGTCAGAAATTAGATAGTTAAAGAATTACTGACCAGTTACTAGTTAGAAACTAATTTAATTTCTACTTGTGTCACGTGTGTGAGAATAGACGCTTGATTGCAGTCATCTAGATGTTTGAATGATAATTATTATTATCGATCAAAAAGTCGAGAAAAAATTCAGTTCACACGAAAAAAAATTCCTATCAATTCAAATTCATATTCTCAGATACAAGCGAAAATATATAATCTTATGTGGATTCAAAATTTGTTCACACGAAGAAATTCGATATAATTCCATCTTAAAAATATCGTTAAAAATATTCAAATAATTCAAGAATAATTTCCCTCTCAATTCATGATAATTTATTTTTGAATAATTTGAATACGATATTTTTAATGGAACTGAATAAAATTTTTTCATGTAAGCCAGTTTTATCTTCATTTAACAATTGTATTTAATAATATTGATTTCAATTAATAAAGTATCACTAACTGTAATATAGTTAGTTTTACATACGAGTACGTTCTTTGAACGTATGTAATACGGTTATGAAACATTACATACGTTCAAAGCACGTACATGAAACTAAAATGTGCTACCTGGGATGTAACTTAATTTATATAATAATATCAATTTTCATGGCGGTATAACTGATACTCTTTTGTGCGACATTTTAAATTCTATATGTTAACGAAACATAAATCCACACGAACGTGAATCAATTTCCACGAATTTATCATTAATATAATTTAAATCAAACGATATGAAACCAAATATTACAGGTCAATCTTAAGATCCACATAATCGTTTCTCCGATACTATTAGTAGTATAAGTCAATGATTCGTCTGTCTCTCTAAGTAACACACACGGACCTGTTCTCGATGAAAGAGAAACTAAAGTGATTATAGCTATTATAGCTAACCTACATACTCTCAATACAATCGATACTTAAATATAACATTGCACTTGAACCAACTTTACCATACATTATTTTTAATAAATCAAAAGATACTTCGCTGATTCTTAACTAAGGATGTCCGACCAAGGGATGTCTAATGTCGCGTAGTCACGCGGGCATTTCCATGAAATAAGATCACGCTAACGATAAGAGACCGTGGGGAGTTCGAACTTCCGTGAATCTTGAAAAATGCGCATTGTTACTAAGATAATGGCAGGAAGGTTGGGAAGCGGTGTTCTCTGTTACGTAATGACTCGATGAATACAGGGACCGATTGCGCGTCTTACAGCATGCCTCATTGTACTTGCTTTTGGCAGGTTAATGGTAACCGCGATCTTCGTCATCACCGCTCATAATTCATCCTGACGCTTATCGCTGGGCTTATCTCGTTGCAGGAAGCTGCTTCAGGCAACGGTAAGGGCCAATCGTACGGGCCATTTCATGTGGGTGGGTAGCGATTCGTGGGGCGCCAAAGTTTACCCAGTCCGCGATCAGGAGTTCGCGGCGGAGGGTGCCATCACCATTCTGCCCTATCGGAACGCCCTTCAAGGTAAAGGACCCCGCTACGCTCTCGTAGCTCGATCTCTCGTTGTAATCGAATTAATTGACGAAGTGTTTGCTCCACGGACCGAATTAGGGACGAACAAAGAAACGAGAGCTAAAATCAATAATCCTGGCGACGAGTGAGCCATCGAGTGGCCATGTAAATGTTACGGACGGTCGACTAATAGTAAGATTAATACGAATGAATTTCCGACGAGTGAGAAATAAGTCAAGTGTAAACGGTGGGGTAAAGAAACACCGGTGAATAAAAAGTACCAGGAAGGAGCATAAAGAGAAAATCCTTTGTTAGGGGGTGAGAAGAATGTGACATACTGAAAGTAAATTAAATGCGACTATCGATACTATCGAATCGAGACAAATTTTATGACGTCATGTTGTCGATTAATCGAATAAACGATTCGGAGAGAAACACGTTGAAGAGAAGATGGTATTAATTGATATTTTGTGAATGATAAAATAACAAAATGGTCAGTTGTTGCCTATATGGATATTTCGAAACAAAAGGACGTCTGGCAACGTTTTATTAGTATATATTTTGTTTAAAATAATTGAATGAAATTAAAAATACAATTTGTAGGTTAATTTTGCTGCATTCTATGTATAATAACCACGTTCAGTTAATATATGTTATTATTGTAAAATCTCATCACATATTTCTATGTGTCACATTGTTGTATGCATTATTAAAAGTGACTAATTTTATTTCCCATTATAATTATTAACAAAAATATAAACATATTTTTTTCTATTATTCTCTTAAAAGAAATATTCCCTTGCTATACACTTCTAAGATGTTCAAAATATACCGCCAGACATCTACTTCCGGAATGTCACTAATGACGTCATTGAACTGAACCAATTTCGATTGTCCTGCCTGTCGATTGTCCGCGATATATCGCAGCGTGCGCCTTCCTTGTATTCTTTATTCAATGAGAAACTCATCATATAATATGAATGTGAATTCGACTTTTCTCTTAATCGGGGATTTTCAGCCGCGTTAGAATTTCACGCCGATCGATACGTGAATTTCGCGGAAAATTGCTTGTGTATGTGTTAATAACACGAAATATGTACGTGCGTGTATGTGTGTGTATGTGTGCATGCGTGCGCACGTGTATAGCAATTTTTAATACGTCCGGTGCCCGTCACCCGTGATTAATTTCACCGTCGCGCCGAGAAGGATCGTGCGCGTGATACGTTTCTTTGTAAATTTGCTAAATAAGAGACGCGCGCGAGCGCACAATGACGAAGCTGATTTTCCTCGGTAAGGTCGGATCGCTTCGATCCCTTCTATTCTGACGGGAAAGACACGTGCTGTCAGGATATCCGCGTTATCGAAGTCCGCGTCGTAAGGATACCAGATGCCGATACAAAAGCGAACGCGCGAGCCTTCATCAAAGGTTAGCGCGCATGAAAAATGTATTATACGCGAAAGCTTTCATCATACCCGGCGTCATTATATCGCGTGAGGTGTTTGCGCAAAGAGCGCGGCTATTTCCGTAGAAATCCTTTAAACAAAACTTACTTAATATCTTTGTTAAAAAAAAAGAAGGGAGGAAAGAGAAAATATCTTTGTTTTGTTGCAGCCTTTACGCTTCCTCCTTTTTTTTTGTCTTTGCCTTTTAGTAGAACTGTCGTTCCATTCGTGACGCATTAAAGAGCAAACGAACCTTCTATCGCATACCCGGGCCTTTTGTCAAGGAATTTTTCATTACAGGACATTCTGGAAAAAAATCTGACTTGCCCGAATGAGTTTCACGGAAAATTCGCAGTTTTGCGAGAGATGGAACCTCGTTGAAAATTATTTTTACACAAGTTTTCCAGCTTGCATTCAATTCACGACATATATCGCGAAACGATATTTCGAGCTCTCGGCCAAACGTTCGAGCCGAAGTTGTCGCAATTTGCGCGCTAAGCGAAAGTTATTGCGATGCATTCCGATCCTGTTAAAAGGAAGATATCCTCTCTGCAAAGAATCTAAGGATATGTCCTTCTACGTTCTTCTTCTATTCTATTTTTCCATTATTATTGCTCAGAAAGAGAGAGAGAGAGAGAGAGAGAGTGAGTTTGTATTAGTTGTAATATAATTATTTGAGAAGAAAAACAAAACGGAACGGTGTGTCACAAATTCAGAACTGTGTTGAAATTTCGTGAAGAAGAACCGCGCGCGCGAAGAACTCAATTCGCTTAATCCTTCCGTATACTTTATTCGGTTCCCCCTTAAATTGTGTAATTCCGTTAACTCTCCTTAATTCTTTAACTTGTCAGATGCGTTTTACCGGGCCACAATTGAATCTCCTCGTCACCGAGGTTGCTTACAACTCGCCAACTTCGTTACCGCTCTAGCGATATCGCCACCTAACTTCGACGCAACGTTCATTAATTTCGCGTGACAAGCGAATAATATTTTCCGTCGCCGATTTACGTCGCATCATCGTCGGCTCGTTGCGGGATTAACATTTCGTGAACCGAAAAAGCGCCAAGCGGGAGGCACTTCCGGCATGGCACTGTGGCACATGGCAGTAATTAACGCGGCGGAGTGTCGAACCCTCGTTAGCGGGGACGCCGAATTACCAGAAATTACGGCCCCACCGAATGCCGAAAAAGATGAGAACCGTCGTCCAGGATGTCCATTAATTCTATGAACTGTCCGACTCGAGAAAGCGACGGTGTCGAGGTACGACGGACGCGACAATTGTTATTAGATGATTCTAACGCCCCTTCGTTTGCCCCCGAGTAACGCGCGAACCCACCGACACTCGCACTTAATTCCATCCCCCAAAATTTTCGCCGGATTTCATTTTATTCGGCAACTAAGCAAATTTAATTTTTACATCCACATGATCGCTCAGCGCGAAAAGCGAAAACCAGGCTAAAAATTCGCGCAATGATCAATCACAAAATTCTTCTTCTTTATTTTTTCTTTTTTTTTATAAAAGTTTCATATGAAAACTTTCGTTCGAGAATCCGAGTAAAATTGTATCGGCACCGTCACGCGAGAGGCCATCCGTTCCAACGATTCCGAAAGATTTAGATTCGAAATGGATCGACGGCGATAAGTACGTTTCCCTGTCAAATAGAATGTTCTTGTTCCAATATCACCGCGACCAGCGGTGAGTTTTCCCCGGCGAAAAAGTGTGACGCATCGGCGCTATTGAGCGCCGTCGAGCGACTGGACTGTAAGAAGTGTGGGCTCGATCCGCGCTCGTGTTATAGGTTTCGACGACTACTATTTGAGCCTGCGGCCGAGAATGGGCGACGAGTGTCGAGGGCAGACCGAGAGCAATGTTCCCCATAAGTTGCCGGGGAAGATGGTGAACTGCCGGAATATCTGGTTCCAGGAGTTCTGGTCGCAGCATCACAAGTGCACTTTCAGCGTGAACGCGTCGAGCGACGTGACGCGCTGCACCGGCATGGAGGACCTCGTCGATTACGAGCAGGAGGGCCTTGTGCCTTTTGTCGGTAACGTATAGATCCATCCTGCCCTTATCGGACGCTTCGTCCTGTCTGTCTTATCCTTACGTTAGAAGCTCCATTGTGGGAGAAGCGTACGTAATGGGAGATTTGTACGTTAAAAGAGAAAAATGGTGAGGGAAGGAGGAGAGAATTTTTCATTTTCGTACGACCTGTCTCTAACCTGGGAGAATTTTTTCGCATCTCCGAATCGACGGTATTATCGAGATTCGATAATCGACCGAAATCCCTGATTAAATTCTCGTCATGGGGAGGTAATCTATTTTGAGAAGAAGTTGGAAAAATTCACCTCATTCGTGATTTATTTGGGATTATTAATTTTGATTGAAAATTCAATTTCCCAAGTTATAATTACAATGCCGAGCGTATCGGCAGCACAATCGTCGTGTGAAATCCGTTCGATCCGTTGCGGCTAAATGGCGGCTCCGCAAAACATTATTGTTGCGTTATTCGGCGTCAATCGACGAAGAAATGTCTTAGCGATGAATAAATTGTTGCCATTCGTGCCACAAGGCGGCTAATTAATCGCGAAACGAGCGAATCGCGCGTGAAAGGAAACACTTTACGATCGTTTATATCTCTAGAGAATCGCGAGAGGGTAGCGGATCAATGCGAAGGGGTGAACGAGGGACCGGGGAGTTGTGAACGGGAAGATAGTTATCGGAAAGAGGAAGAGTGAGAATAAGAGAAGCATCCTCGGCAACCCTCCAACTTTTCGTCACCCTTCGACCATTTTTCTGGCCGAAAAACGGAAACGGGAAAAAACTTGGCCGCCTCACGTTCCAACCGTAATTCCGTCAATATATGACGAGACTTACGTCACGACGCGAGATAGCGCGGCGCGGCGATCGATTGTTTTTACCACGCGATTTCCCCGTTATCCGTGCCCGATCTTCCGTTTTATAAATTATCCGTTCGATTCGCCGCGCAGGTACGAAGCGCGCGCAGCTGGCGAGCGAGCGAGCCGATTAATACGTCCGCATCAATCTTATTTGCAATCGTTGCAAACTCGCAGAGGTTGCGGATAATTATGACAGAGCATCCAATTTGCGCGCGGAATTTTACATTGTTCACGCGGTGGTGCGCAGATTACGCGAGCGATAATTCAGGCGATTATTTTTTTACCGTGACTTTTAGCATTCATCCAAAGAACAGCTGCCTCGTGTATCGGCTGAATTTTAATCTTCATGTTTGCAACGGAGCGAAATTATTCAGCTCCTTTTCGAGGAAACAGGTTGATCCCACGTGTCGAGATTGCATCCAAGTGACGACGAGAGCTAACGACCTCTTGTCTCGCCTTTCAATTTTTCTGTTTCGGGAAGAAGGATGTTTAAAAATGCTAAATACACTCGACACACTCGAAGAAAACGTCGCGACGCGCCTCCTCCGGAAGTGCTTCGAAGCAGACGCGGAAATCGTGAGAACGAGCGCGCGACTTTCGTCTGTTCTGAAACTTTCGACCGGAGTGGAGTGTCGCGATCTTTCTGCCGCAGACCACACTTGGTATGCAAAGGACAAATGCGTGACGTATATTTTAACCTTTTCGTTACGACAGGCGACTACAACCACCCGCAGCAAAGCAACCTCCGTGTGCGACAGACTATAGTCGCTCGCCGCGAAACAACCACTGGATGTGACAAGCAATTGTAGTCTGAACGCAAAGCGCTCACATTTGAAATTATTTTAATTATTAATGTATATGTATCAAAGGGTCTGACTACTCTGAAATTTTGAATAAATCGACCTTTCTTTTTTGGTATTTTATTAAAGTTGAACTTTTAAGAATATTCGAAACCAAGGCCGCGCTGAAAATTCCAAAAATCGCCAAATTATGAGAATTTATAGGGAGGCGAGCCAGGCTATCGCGTGATTAACAGATTTTAACCGAAAGGCACGTGCGCTTGAGCGTATTTCGTGTTTTTGCCTCTCGAGGGACACATTTTTTTATTTTAAGCTATTGATCGGTTGTTAGCGATCCTCATGTAAGAGTTTCAAGCTAAGATCCAAACTCTCAGAGATGCTGTTCGCTAGGAAATGTGTCTAGTCTATTGTAAGCTGTGCTGTGGAGCGTACCCTTGAAAACGGTTACGAAAATGTCACCGCCCACGTACTTGGAACGAAGAGGAAAGAAAGGCATAAGGAGTCAACTTAAGAGTGGGAAAAAGAACTTTCGATCATTAAACAAATTCGAAATGGAACAAGACATCTCCGCTAAGAAACTGAGCGTCGCAGAAAATATCTTCGCGTGTGACGGATTCGCATACTTCCACTCGTGACTCGCGCTTCCGGAACAAGCGAACATCCGGGAATTCCGAGGACATAAATTCCACACAATTAATTCCAGATCGCTATCTCTTGTTTCTAAGCGTTCGCCGGTGTTTGCAATTAACCGCAGCTGACTCTGCTCCGTGATCCATTAGATTGCGTACTTCCGTCGGGACCGGACAAACTTTCGCGACAAACTTTCAAAGCGAGGCCGCGCCAAATGAAAGGAGAGAAACATTTGCGAGCGAGCGAGCGGGCGAGTGGAGTAATTTTCCTCGGCTATGATTTTTTGCGTTAACAAACGCGGCGACCGCTGGCGCGTGAAAAATTGCGCAAGATCAAACCCCCGCGCTTTCCCCCCGTGTACCGTCGCAACCCTTCTCCCCATTTCCCTGCGCTCGCCCCGTTCTTCCCCGCCTTTATCCCGTAGGAAATAAATGATGCCGTCTCGCTGAGCGAGAGGCGATCGGGAAGCTCTACGCGGCGGAACACCGCGACGGAAGATAAATCTTGTAAATCGTCTTATTAGCTGCCACGAGACATCTTCCCCGTGAGCGAGTAACAATTTGTGCCCCCTGTCGGAACCTTCTTTATACCTGAATAAATAAATAATGACGGGGCGCGTCGTATTCTCGCGACTCTCGAACAACTGCGGACTTACAGGATCGAGGATCAGATCGGAGCTATAAAACTTGTCCGATTCCGCGAAAAGTCTGATAAATCGAGCTCGAATTAAGTCCCGTCGCGATCTATCGACGAATTGAGGATAAGATCACGTCGATGCTAAATAGCGAGGAGAGAGCCTTTTGCAACCGCTTGATAATCGGCTCTATAATTGGAGACGCCTCTTGTTTCATTCCGTCTGAGAGAACTCTATTAGCACGAAAAAGAGGCGCTCCCGTTCTTTATTTTATTAGAGAGTAAATTGACTACATTGGAGGAATTTTGTCTTGTATTTCGCACGCTGGGTCCGATGATGTTTTCGCTTAAACCAACTCGGGATATCCGGGTCATTCCGAGCTAGTCGAGCGTGTGTAAATTGTTAGCCAGACGTATGAGTGTTCCTTCTAGTTGGACGTATCTGGGGCAACTTTCGGAATAATTAGACATGTTTATTACACGAATGTGTGGAGCTGGTTTTAATCGCGGGATCTTTGAATTATTTGCAGTGGATGCAGTTTACGCCATGGCACACGGTGTTCACAATGTCATTGAGGAAGAATGCGTGAATAATCTTGGCACGGCGCATTATCTCTGCGAAGCGCTTCAACCAGCGCCGGAGGGCCCGCAACTGCTCCAATACATCCGCAACGTTAGTTTCATTGGTGAGTCTCATCAAATTTTTTAATAATAATTTACAATCTTACGTCATGTCATATATATGTATGTATATATTTATTTATTTATTTATTTATTTATTTATACTTGTATATTTATATATATGTATATATACACACTTCGCTTAATTTCAAACACGACTCTGATTTGATTGGTCAGCAGAAATACTGTAGAAATATATTACGTTTTACTTCAATATATTTTACTCGAACACGGTATGAATTAATTGACCAAAGATTCGTTAGCGTCATTCGCGTGTCAGACACGGACGGGAAGGGTCGTTAAATCGAGGGGCTCGAACAGATCGATCAGTTATATCAAAATTACAGCACGAATTCCGCGTGTACGTCAAGCGCCGCGACTGCGTCACCCAGTATATCAAGTGATCGGTGACGTCAGAGGGTGGCAATCTCGACGCCCTCGTCGATATTGCAATTAAAACACTTTCCCCGATTTAACGGCACATAACACTTTCACGTTGGTGGACTGTGATACAATTAAGACTGGCCCCTCGTTACGGCGCACTATCAAGTGGCAATGCGATTATCCCGATCGTCCGTCCTCCTATCGCGTATCAGACAAGATTTATCGTAACGATATTGCGTAACACTTCAACTTCCTTTCCACCCCGGCTTTTTCCGATATCCTCACGAAACCGCCAATGGGGCCTTTTAATCCCATGCTCCTACGTTCCTCCTCCTCCTCCTTTGTTCACGAATCACGTGCGGCGCTAGTTTGAAAATGTCTTACCTCGAGTGTGCAATGCCGTAATAAAATTAGCAGCATAAATGGGTAATTCTTTTTGCAAGTAATGTGCGCATCTTAAAGGGGCGCGCATCAGCGGCGAGATTCTTCATTCTTCGCTTAACTACCCTCATGTATATGAAAGCTTTAATCAAGCTCTAACGTTTATTAAGCCAAAACTAATTAGTGATATTTAATCGTTTGTATATATATATATATATATATATTGCGCGCTTATAATGATGTTAGCGCGCTAACAAGTCAACTTATTAGTAGGTTCTGAATAGGTATTTTGCCACAAACGCGCGTAATTATCGATTTTTCCTAACAGAGCACTGTTGTTGCCGCGTTTACAATGGCGAACGATACTGAGAATACTCGTATCTCTTGACTTGTTTGCGCGCTAGCATTGTTGCAGACGCGTTCAAAATACGGGTCATTCTGTTTACATATATCTGATATAATGTAATATGATGTGCACGGGGAAAATATTGCGTAAAAATTATCACAAAATTGTGTAATGCTGGACCGAAATTATGCATACCAAAATTATGACTGCAATTATTACGTGCGTTGTAATCTTTAGTGATGTGTACATTTTAAATACATCATTAAAGATTACAATACGCATCATAATTTCAGTCATAATTTCGATACGGTCCAGCATTACAAAATTTTGTGGTAATTTTTACTACAATATTTTCTCCATGTGTTATAACATATGTTATAATATGACGTGGTATAATATGATGTATCGAGCCGTAAAGATAAATTATTAGACGAATAATTACCGGTCAATACTCCCTTGCGGGTTTTAAATACGAAGATTAATAGAGCTTTAAAAGGTTCCTAATTTAACGCATTCGCTACCACCGTTCATCTGGAAAAACTGTCCGCCACAGGCTGCAGTTTTAGTTTTTTACGACGATGCAAACCAGGTTTCGCTTATACGAACGTAAAATGAAAAATTATCGCCGTCATGCATACATGATATGGGTCTCTCGCGAGAATCGTTGCGTCACAAACTCATACGTATGATATCGCGTGATAGCGCGAACGTGCTAAATATTAAAAATTTCTAAGATCAACGTTATCAGTAGTGGACGGTTTTTCGACGATCCTTTTTTTTCCAAACTGGCTCTGCACAGGTGCGATAAACCCGTTTGATCGGAAAGAATTGCATTATTGCCGGATTGAAGCTGATTGGGCAAATTTTCCCGATATGGAAAAGCCATTTTCCCGACCCATTAGAAAGATTTAATTCTATTTGTTTGTACCGTGGAGAAACTGATTTGCGGATAGCAATAACGGGAATGAAAATATCGATTTCTATAACTGGCTAGGCTGTTTCCGTTCACAATGGCATTTAACCGTTTACTTTATTGCACAGCCGTGTGCAAATTCGCAGAGATACACAGATTCGCGATGCCCCCGTCAGGAAAGATATCGATACGCGTATTTGTATTTATACGTCGTTCTCATTAATTCGTTTTCTGCTGATCCGAGAAAAGAAGAAGAGAAGTTTGCTGCCGCGGTGGGAAGCTCATCTGAAAAGAATCTTCCTTAAACTTCGCGGCGTTATCAGGTTTTCGTCCGTTCTGCAGTGAAACGCGCGTCCCCGGTTGTTTAACGTCGAAAAAAGAGAGGCTATGCATCTCAAATATTCTCATTTCTCCTCGCAACATTTTCGCAGATAAGCCGGCAATAAAACCAACCGTAACCGGGGCCGAAAATCTCTTTCATCCGCGTGCCTTTTTATTTCGTCGTTCTTTGTCTAGAGGCTTACGTACTTATTGTACCTTATTCATTGCGATATGCCTCGTCGCGAATAATAGTGCACCACACATTATTCTTTTCGCAGGGTTAAAGAATGGAGAAAGGCTCGTTTTGCAATTCACCAGCGATGTTTCATTTTAACGTTTCTTATTTATCGCTCCTGTTTCGTCGTCTATTCGTTTCTTGAAAAAATATTCGAGGAGAAGCGCCAAAAACTGACATAAATATAAAAAGTCGACATGCCCGTGTTTCTCGATTATAAAATATCAAACTCTCTTTTCTTGTTTATTTATTTAAGATGATGAAAAAGAAATTCATGGGATCCCTTTTCACATAATAAATAATATGCAAAATTAAAGATAATATATGTAAGGATGTACAATAATAATAAATATGCAAAATAATGTTATTTCGGTTTATTTCATTTTTATTTCATTTTTCCATTTTTTGACATCATGGATATGTTGGTTTCGGGGTTCAATTTACAATTAATTTAATCATTTTCAGAAAATTACAAGAATAACATATATATATATATTTTTTTTAATAGAGTAATATTGCCGCTTTGCATCCATTCATATAAATTTTAATTCCACACCATCAACAGGATTTTAGAGCTTAAAAGCAAAATGGCATACCGGTGTTAATGCTTTTCCTCTATTCAAGTGGCCCGAGGTGTAAAAATGATCGACGATAATCTTATCAACGGGGAAGCGTAAATCCTCCAAGGAAGCGCGCAGCTCCCCCCATAACGCAAGCTTGTCGCTACAGACTGACGTCTAATCGCGATTCCATGTTACGATCGCTCTGTAACACGCGCATTGACGATAACCTCCGGTGCACGTGAAACATAATTTCTCGACCGCGCGATATACGCGCCTGTTATTCCGGCTCCACTACAGCGGTGCAATAATACGGTACTTGGCGCACACAAGCGTCGCAAACTTGTTCGCGAGCGCTTCCAGCGGTGCGAGACGCGGCGAGTTTACGCCGGTGTGCGCGCGCTTACGCGCACGGAATAACAATGTTTACGTATTTTCCTCTGTTATACTTATTTGCTAGCCCTGACAATCCCGCACCTGTTTGCACCACGTTATATGTTCATGGAGCTTGCCGGGTATGTCGCGAGAACGAGTAAACTTCCGGTCGGATTTCGTTGAACTACGTGCACGCACACGTGGCTTCGTTTACCGTCGTATTTTTCTGTGGTGGGTAAGAGGAGGGTGGCGAATGTGTGAATAATAACAATGGTAAAATTTAACAATGGGCTAAAACGGGAAAGGAAGGATTTAAAATTCTTCTCTTCCGGTCGTGACGAGAGAGGCTTAATGGATTTAAACGAAAGTAATCGCGCAATAGTCGTTTCCTCACACTTCGCGGACTCGAATTTAATATCTTGAAGAAATTATGTTTCTCCTATTTGTCGAGCCTGTACATTTTTTTCTTGTTTACAACTAAGGCGTAAATTCTTCGAGATTCTTAGAAATTGCATGTATTTGCACATATGACTTAGTCAGTTGTCGCAAGCGTTTCCCATTTTTACATCCATCACGAGTGAAATTAAAAAGAAAAAAAAATGAGAGAGGTGTGCGCGCGTGTGTGTGTGTGTGTAAAAGAACTAAATTTCTTCTTCTTGTCACTACGTTCTACTCCTCCTGTATTTTTCTTTATAACTCGATCTTTAAAGTTCATTCTCTCCCGCTCCTTCTCCGTTTTATCGAAGTTAAAAGCCGAACGAAAAGCCTTAATAAAAGATTTAGAGGTCGGCGAGACACGAGAATTTTGCTGAATGTCGGGGGATAAAGGCGAGAAAATATTGCTACATTATTGCCACAGCTTACGTAATCTTTCCTTCGAGGCCCCCACTGCGATAACCGCTCTTCCTTCGCGATTTTTTACTCTCACGCTCATAATTTTCTTCGTCCTCGCGCGCGAAATCTCCATTCTTTTCCCTTTGACACAGAGCCCCGTGCTACAAAAGGCAACTTTTCCTCCACGCGAGCTTTCTTTATTCCACCTGTTTACATCGCAGTCGTTCTAAGAAATAACGCTTTGTACATATCCTTGCATTCGCCCGTGTTTCGCCAGTCTGGGCCTGCGTCGAATTATTACGACGAGGGTTCGAGAGAAACAAAGGAAAGGGGGATAAGCCGTAACAAGGGCGGAAAGATGCTGTGCGTGGCTCCTTCTTTTCTCAGGTGGTGTTCTATATATATATATATATATATATATAATCCACGCGTGAAGTAGCTGGCATAAATTCCGTAGACCTCACATCCAAATTCGCTTTGATGGCTCACGTTAGAAAGCGTTCGCTTATTCTCAGCCCTTCTCGCATCATATTATTCTCTTTTCAATTCTTTATTCCTCAGTCTTTTCAATTCACAAAATATTTTCAAAATGTATTTCTACTAATCTTAAGAAGTACAACTGATTTCATCTTTTGACCATTTTATACATAATTTCGGAAACAATCCCACAATCTTCGTTCTCTGAAGCTTCACAATGATTTTCGTTTTCCGAAATTTCCTCGATTTTATTTAAGATCTTTGAGTAGCCACCATCGTTAGAAGGATTACTCTCGTAATGAATTCGCTTTGTCGGGGCTGAGGTAATGATGCTCGAGTTTATGAGATTAGGATCAGAAATTAAACTACGTACATATTCTATATGCAGTCGCATAAGCGCCACCACCGTATTTAAATTTCCGAAACGGCACCGACCGGCTTTCTTTCAGGTCGCCAAAACACGGAGATTAAGTTCAATGCCGACGGAGACGCTTACGGATTTTACAACATCTATCAATATCAGAGGAAAGAGGAGGGTCGCTTCGATTATACCCTCATCGGCACGTGGAAGGAAGAGTGAGTAGCGGCCTTCGATTCAAATGGGATCGGCACACTTTGCCATTTGTCGCACGGGTTGCACAAACGGTAGCATTAATCTTCAGCTCTCTTCTCTGCGCGTAACGTTACTAGTTTAATCCACTCTCCAAATCGAAGCGACGCGACATCGGCATCGCTACGTTTTTAACGTCATGTTTTTTTTTCCGTCTTTTTTTCTTAGGATTTAAGCATCCAACAAATTACAAAGCAAATTGAAATATTCCTCTTTCGAACTACTTTGCAATTCTTTGCATCTTGCATCCATTAAATTAGTATTTTGTTGTTTTTTTGCTCTCCTGTATTTGTATTTTGAAATACAATTTCGCATACTTTGCTTGAATAAAGCGCATGACAGTTTTAAATGTGCAAACTCTGTCCATCACAGTTAAAAGAAATTATATATATTATTTAAAATAAATACAAATATATATATATTTTTTTGCATTTAATATATTATATTATATATGTAGATACACGTTAATTTAATTTCTGAATTTATAAGCACAATTCTTGAATATAATAATTTATAATCCCTTAAATGTCGGTTGGAACGTTTGCAAAATAAAACGCTCATGATTACTTATTTCCTTAACATTTCTTTAACGTTGCACAAAGCGTTGCACAGAGCGGGAAGCTGGACGAATTTATTCGGTTATAGATAATGTAGCCCGTCGACGATGGCTTCAATGTATTTAACAGGTTAAAGCCTGCGACACATCTGGTGTATTAATTAGAGATTAATTTACTTCCTCAGGCTCAGTCTGGACATTAACATGACACGATGGGCGAGCGGTGTCGGCGAGTTTCACATTCCCCGTAGCACGTGCAGCGAAAACTGCCCGATGGGACACATCCGCAATTTTGTAGTAAGTGCTTACCATTTAATCAGCGCAATGACGTGGAAGAAATGTCGAGCGAGATTTTTCTACGACTTAATCGTTGCTCATTTCATTCACTCGACGCGAGAAATCCTCTCGCACAATCGCGAGATTTAGCAGATAAATTTCATGGGTAAGTCGGCGATCCGAAGGTTGACGGTTAAATGGAAACTGGTACATTAACTGAGTACATTTACTAAATCTATTAGAGTAACACCCCTTAATTCCTACTAATATCTCGTTCATTATACCGAAGTTCGTTCGCGGCTTACCTTCGCTTCGGAGTTTAATACAACAATATCGCGAAACTAATACAAAATTCGTCGCTGTGCATAAATGCAAAGTAAATTTATTATTACATCACATAATAATGCCGTGATTTGTCTTTTCCTCTTTCATCGTAATTTATGAAATGTACAATCTCCCCTCTCTCTCTCTCTCTCTCTCTTTCTCTCTCTCCTTCCCTCCCTCCCTCTCTCCCTTTCCCTTTCGCACGGAGGGCGAGAACAATCAACACACAGCGTAATAAAACCGAGCCCACGATACTTATTAATTGAACGTTAATTCGAACGAAACGCCAATGCGCTAGCACACATACGGCCGCGAGAGTTGCACATCGACGATGTTTAATTCAGTAGTACTTTGTGCAGTTTGTATAATTAAATTCTAACACGCATTTTGACTGAAATTCCGTCCGGGGAGTCCGGCTGCACAATTTCCACAAACTCCGCGATATGCGGGAGTTACGTCTAATAAAGTGAACGCGTACTATCTTCTGCCTCTTGTCTCTCCTATCTCGTTCTCACTTCCTGTCCCCTCAGCGAGCGGAATTTCATGCAAACTAAAGTAGATCTGTAATTGTGTCCCAATCCCAGGTTTAACCCTACATAGTGCATAAGCAAGCACTCGCGTATCGCCTCCCGCCCCGCCCCCTCCCTCTCCCGCCTCCTCTTCACGTCTCTCCCGCAATTTCCCGTCGAACGAACCACACGCGGAAAACGCGTAGGTAACACCCTAGCGGAACGGTACATGAATTATACATTACAGGAATTATACAGACCGACGATGCTTTTTGCACTTGCTTGCGTTTGTTTGGTGTCTCTGTACAATATATACTCGACCGAAGATGTATTTCTTCTCCCTCTCTCTCTCTCTCTCTTTGCATTTCCGATTAAATATTCTCTTCGTATGTCTCGGTCTACAATAAGTATTTTAAGTTTTTAGTCTTGAGAAATTGACCGATTACAGTTAATTATTCTCTTCACATTCGACTGTGATTGGTCAATTTCTTAAGGCTTAAAGCTTAAAGCACCTAATGTAGACCAGGACTTTAGAATCTCACCGAAGATTCTTTTCCCTTATCGTTTCATCTCTGTATCGCATATCACTAAATTATGGCAATTTCGGGGCGTTTAATTTACTCCGGACTGCAAATCTTCATTAGCAGGTCGTGCGTTGTGGAGTTAGATCCGTATTCGTAAAGCAGAGGGATGCCCTGCGGCGCTGAGGTCCCCGGGGTTGTAACCCACTTCGGTTCGTACGGTGTTAGCAAGGTGTCTCTGAATGCGGACCCGGATTGGTCAAAGTGTTCCGCTAACGTTTCGTTATCGAGAGTTAACGACACACGTACCGAACTTTCGCCAAATCAGTGGCAGCGATTCGACCCTAGAACGGCGTATAACATCGTCGATAATTGACTGCTCTTGGTCAGTCGAGGGCAAACAAGAAACCGATATCGCGACCGCTGGAGGCATCACCGAACGTTGTCTCATTATAGCCGCAACCTGCGCACCGTGACGACTAATTAACCTCGGGATCTTGTTGAAAAACGTAAAGAGAAGAAAAGAAGTGAGAGAGAGAGAGAGAGAAAGGTGGGAAGAAAGAACGAGGGGGAAAGGAAAAGTAGTCACCGGGATTATTATACTCAGCCGTTCCTTCCCTTCTATTATGAAGCCAGACATAATGCGATCTTCGCTGACCTGAGTAGTTGAAAGAAAGAGAGAGAGAGAGAGTTTCTCCATTCATGTCGACTCTTTCTCCCTCGAAAGTATTGTAAAACCGATTTTTTAAACCTCATTGAACCACACGGCTTCTACCGAGATGGTATTTTTACTTAAAGGTAAGGGTTTCCAGAACTTTTAAAATACAAACGACCCGTGTGCCCGTAACGTCATATCGGTTTTTTCACGCGTCCTTTGTATCCTTGTATATTTACTTCGCTACTTAACATCGCTGCAACTTAGATATTATAAGATGAACAGTGATGTAACCGAATGACCGCGTGCATGCGAAATGCAGGGCTAATAAGAGCCTGAAACGTCGACGAATGAACGCTTCAGGCAAAGTGCTAATCTATTGTTCGTCTTCATCAAGTTTCAAATATGAAGCCCTAACATTTACTAGGTTAAAATTTAACAGTGATTCCTAGTCTTTCACGCACTACATGATATAATATAATATTATATAATATGACGTTAGTATACGTGCGTGTGTGTGTATGTGTGTATGCTGTCAAGCAAAATGATAGATTAGCCGAATAACCAATAGCCATAATATATATCCAAGTACAATGCGAATGACTGGAAATCACTAGTTAATTTCAGCCTGGTAAGGCTTCATTGAAACACGAACTGCATCTTGTGCGGAAAACAAATAATTAGCATCCATGTTTATTGTTTCGAACATTTATTTATCGGCAATTCAGGCTTTTATTGACATTTTTATAATCGAATATATCAGAGCTACCCATAAGTAATGTCGTTTTTTGTTAATAATTATACTAAATTTTATTTTATTTAACATTTAGTTCTTTCAAAATTTCACAATAAACACACTAAATGTCAATGAATTTAATTAGTATGTAGGTTATGTAATAATAAATCGCGTCCACGAACAAGGTGGCAATGTTTATTCAATCTGAAAAAAACGACATTATTTATGAGTACTTCTAACATATTGAAAGTCCTACCTGTTGTTATATTTTACGCTGGGCAAACAACTACGTTCCTATTGAAATTTCTGCTCTGATAGCGGTGAATGTTCACTTTTATTTACCTACCTTCGCTCGCTTTACAATGGCTCCTCTTTACAGAATACGAGAACTTTAACTCTGTAAGAACGATTAGCGGCTACAATGTCGTTATTTGCGTTTCCCAAAGTATCTTCTTCGCGAGACAGAAGCGAAGGTGCATCTGTGCATCGCTTTCCGCGCGCGCCGCTTTCCCCACGGGCTCATTATTTTTCAATTTTGATCTTGCTCGTAGACAATACGGACTTTCCTTCAATTTCCAACTTAAATGCCTTCCAACTTTTAATATAAGTTGTTTAAATTGCCTGCTTTCTGCGTTTACGGCACTACAGCCGTTTTAATCTTATCATTTTTACATGACTTGCTCTCAGAACGGATTGATTCCGATCGACAAACTGTACATGTCTTCCGATGAACGTAAAATGAACGTTATTCCCCAACTTTGTACTCTCTTTCTTAAATACCACGAAACTTCCCCCATCCCGGCTTCAATTTTCCCTAATCCGGGGGGAGGAAAATTGAAAGCTTCAAGAAACTCGTCGAAATTCGCGTCTCTCCGCCGACGTCTGTCTGCGCGTTTGCCTCGCCTGCCGTTTTATCGCCATTCCGCAATTTGCTCCCGGAATTAACTCATGAGCGATTTCAAAGGCGATCATTCGCGAAACTAATCAACGGCCACAATGACGACGGAAAAGAGCTGCTTGGTTATGACGAAAGTTTCACGACGTTCGTTATAGACACTCGTTAGGGAAGCCGGCAGTCAACCCCGAGGCTTCCACTCGGCGGAAGGCCGCGAGAAGTGGCGCAATTTTGCGCCCCGGCTTCTGCGATTGCCCTACTAAACTCCTCATTGTTTGCGCAGTATTCCTATAAATTTTCCGCGCATTGCTCCGCGCGAATCTGCGCGAGCGCTAAATGGCCGAGAAAGAAAATTCAGGGAACAATAGTCGAAATATATACGGGCTCTCAATAATCTCCCTTACGAGGGCGACTAACGTATCAAAAGAATATTCTTACAGCTCTGTCAAACTGTCAAGATTTAATTGATCGAACTGAATTCGCAACTTGTGAGCGTTGATAATTGAGACGCGTGTGATCAAGTTTGTCGATTGAGCTCAACTTCTGCGCTTACTCGAAACAAATGTCGCGCGATGCGTTTTAAGCCTCGCTGCATTTTTCGCGCCGAAACTGCGTGCGTTATGCTAGCGACGAGCAAAAATGCGACAGACGATCAAACGCGATGACGATGATCCGCGGACACGTAGACACGCGACTCGTTAAGCTCGGTATAATTAAATAATTGATTAATCGCACCCGAGAGAGGGCCCGACAATCGATACGCGATTCACGTTGCGGATCAAATTTATTCGCTGCCTGATTGAAGAGCGTGCCTGACAACAGCCTACCGGTGAATATCGCTTTGATGACAATTAGAACGGCAATTACAATGGCGTTTCGCTCACTTCTACTTGATCGCGCGCGTTCGGTTTGATCTGGCATTCGAATTATGCGGCTTGCAGCGGTTACTGTGATTACAAGAATTTTCATTGCGGTAATATGAACGCCGGTGACGAGAACATGATTGTCGATGTCATCGGTGTAATGTTACAAAATGATAACGTTGCAAATCAACGTCCGTCAATAACGATCGGCATAATAACGGGCAAGCCGTGAGTGAAAAGTCGTTGAAATTACTCTTAGAAATTATGATTACTTTTTAACGTCAATAAGACAGTATTAATGAGAAGTACATTAGTCTCCTGCGTTGATATATAGTTGGACTTGTGAGACGTAGTGTGTTTTTGTTTAAGTTTACGTTCGGATAAAAACGAAAGTACATATAATAATTCGATTTATGTATACTTTATATAATCTTACGGAAATTTTTCAAGAGTTTTGTTATGCGAAATAACAAGGTTACCTATGATCTGCGATCTTGCACAATCCGATTGAGCACAATGTCTGAGAGACATGATTCTAACTTGAGCGATTAGTAAGAAATATTAGATCGTGTGGTGAATTTAGGAAATAGAACGCAGTTAGAAGTGCGTGAATTTGGCATAATCATTATTAATTTAACTGGAACGCCACAGGCGCATACGTTATTAAGCATGATTAACATTAAGAATATAATCCCGCTTATTAACAGTTTGAGTGCCAAGGAGCGATTTTGCGCTTCTTCTTTTTCGCTCGAAAAGTACCAGCGTTCTAGGCTGCGAAGCCGATAACCAGCAGACGCTCGGCTTCTGTCGATGCGCGACTTTACGGTTACCATTCCGTTTTAGGTAAAAATGAAATAATGAGACAACTGATAAAAGAACGAATTTTAATTGCAATCTAACATTTGGATGCAATCATCGGAGAATAAGACAAGCGCTATCGCGCCGTTTGGCATTTCTGGATGGGGAATAAGACAAGCGAAAAAGCGCTCCTTGGCACGTTTGGACGGGGAAACAGCAGAGACGCGTGGCACTCAAACGGTTAATCTCCTAATCTGATATTTGATCAAACTGTCATTTGATAATGATGATAGTCACATGCGGCACAAAGTGAGCCGCATTGCATAATCAATCAGCATCACGAGAAAGAGGCTCCAATATTTCGATATAAAGCATTGATACGTTCGAGATTTAAATAACACGTTTTTTTTTAAAAGGGAATATAATTAGTTTAACGACCTGTTTTGTGAAAATTTCTTTAAAGTGAAAGAGTCCGTTGAAACAATCATATACGGTAAATATACGATATCCAGATACTTTCGATTTTTGCTACTCAATATAATAATAATATTGCCATATATTATTAATTTATTATTGTTAATTATTACTCATAATAATATAATTATTACATATTAATTTAATATAGTTGATAAAATGAACTGCTAAATATATTAAATTCACGCATTTCTAGCTGCATTCTAGCCGTTCTTGCTTCCTTAAATTCACTATACGGCTGTACCGTCAAAAGCTCTTCACACAATTCCACAATTCCACAAAATATTAATAATTGTCGAGACAGTGCGCTTTGCCGTTCACTATATTATCATTCACAAGTTATACATGCGCTTTGTAAAAATACCGACACGCCTTGGCACAGTTCCATTCTCCTTAACGGTCGCTCCTTGTTGCCCGGCTGCTTCTTGCACGTGCAGCCCCGTCGTCGATATTTACGATTATTACTCGGGCAACGGGCGCGAAATCGAATATAATTTCGGTTAGTTCCAAACCACCGCGACGAGACCATCAAGATCACAGCCGGCGACAGCCATTCGTCATTTCCCGGTGTATTCCGCGTGCTGTCTGACGCAAGTCAACGCTAATAAGGGAAGCGTTTCATCCGGCGGCGAAGCCGCTATCTTTGCCTCGTGCAATCGAATAATTCCGCGCCGTTTGTTTGTTTGCCACGGTAAGCAAACTCCAACACGGGAATCTCGTCGGGCTAACGGGACTCGATATTTTTCTCGCTGACTGCATATAAAAATGGATTTTTTCTTCACCCCCCCCNGTTCGCTGAACATCGAACAGTACGTCATGTTTGAGCGCAACTCTACCTCACGTATATTTTTCAGTCGTTCAGACGGGAATAAATAGTCGGCGACAACCGTCGCTTCTTGTTCGGCAAAATCTGTTTGTCTGGATACGCAAGTCCCATACGTAACAATCTCGCGCACTTACAACGGCTCGTAGAATTCGCTCGTCGCATCGCTGATTGCGAGCATCACCTCGCTCGTCGGGACTTGATCCTTCCCGCGATTTATACCCGGTGCACGAAGCGCAACGACAAACTACGATCGATGACAACGACGCCTTTTCCATTTCGCTAATTTTACTTAATTTATTACATTATACTTAATTAATTCGAGTCGGTAATTCGACGTAATAGACTCAACCCGTATTAATTCCTGCGACAAACGGTCGCGTATATTGTTGTTATTATTATTATTATTATTATTATCATATGATTATCATTTTATTTCAGTAATAATTATTGTTATTATCGACAAACCTGTCGTAGCCGCGGTTTGCTTCGTCGCATCAAGTAAAATAAGACGACCACTTGCGTCTATTGATCAATAATTATCTTTATTTAGATTCTTTTAATTTACAAGATTGCGTGGAATCGTAAAGTCGAGTCCGGCCGTTCTCTACCGGAAGGACTCAAGAGAGAACAACAGCTCGGTCCTTACGGTGGAGTTTTTTTATTGCCGTTTCTAGGATAGAAATTATCAGTTCGAAGTCCGCCAGCGCGATTCTATCTTGCTCGTACATTTCGATCGCGAACGAACGCCGCTTTTTACGTACGTCCATTTTTCAAAAAGATTGGTCCACGCGCAGGAACCCTGCTGTTGGAGTTGCGTCGCATGCCGGGAGGACGCTTACGCGTACAACGACACGTGCAAGAGCTGCAAACCCGGCCACGCGCCGAACTCCACGATGACCGGCTGCATCAAGCTCACCGCAGAGGTCATACCCTGGACGAGTCCTTGGGCGTTGGTGCCATTAATCTTCGCGTCCATCGGGATCCTCAGTACCCTCTTCACCACCGTCGTCTTCATTCGGTGAGCGTTCAATTTCACGTCTCTTATCTTTCCCTCTTCGCACTCGGGACATGCCGTTTGTAGCCTGTTATATCTTAACGACAGAATCCCAAACACCGAAGGCTTCTCCTTTGGGAAAAACGTAGCTTTCGCGATACAATCAACGAACAAGCAGACACACCTGAAGGGGAAATATGCATTCCGATATTCTTCGCTGCGATAAAAAGCGCAAGGAGATCGAGCGCGAAGTAATATCATCGAAAACGAGAGCTTAACGGGATTCAAAGTCGACGCTTTCGAAGTGAAAATTTAATCAAAGGCTTAATTAGCGAGCTATTAAACTTACTTAATTAGAGGAAGTAAAAGGTTCAACGCGCTGAATTATAAATGGGCAAAGGGGGAAGGGGATAGACTTTTAAGACTCAGATTTCGGTTTCTTTTTTAAACTATATCTACCTCGACCTATTAACTTAAACATTAGACGCACGTAACTGCGTAGGAGTTGTAACCGACAATTTGAATTTTAATTATCGGGTGACTCGACATCGAAGAAGCACGACTGATTCTAAGTTTAATTATAAAATCTTCATCTCCCGGGATTATATAATAGAATATTCCGCGCTTTAAATATATTTCAATATATTTTAATAGATTTATTATCATATATTTCAAATATACTTTTAACACTAATTTCTTAAAGCAACATTATTACTAACGACCAGTGTTTACAACAATTATTAATTATTACACCAGAACGGCTTGATATTTACAGATAATAAACTATTAATAAATTGAAATTTCATTATTAATTTATTATATATATTATATATATTTTTTCCACGATCAATATTTGCTATTTTCCTGTAATGTCATTTTTTTTTTTAGAAGCATTGGCTCACAGAGAGTTAATGTAGCTTGAGATGTCACTTTTTTTGACGCCCGATTTCACGCCAAGATTCTCGTGGAACCTTCTCACTTTCTCGATTGCAGATTCAATCGCACCCCGGTGATCATGGCGTCAGGTCGCGAGCTGTGCTATGTACTGCTGGTCGGCATTCTCTCGTGCTACGGCATGAGCTTCGTCATACTGAGCAAGCCGACTACGTGGAATTGCACGTACCTGAGAATCGGCCTCGGTCTCTGTCTCAGTATATGCTACAGCGCGATCCTCACGAAGACCAATCGCATATCGCGGATATTCAACCAGAGTACGAAGAGGATCAAGAGGCTCTCCTACACATCGCCGAAGAGCCAAGTGGTAATAGCTAGCGGTGAGTACGAGTTGCACTCACCTCGGTAAACACGTCGACGAGCCGACCGGCTCGAGGGGATAATTGCGCGCCGATGTTTGACGCAACGATGATGTAAAAGCCCGACCGAAGAAAGGGAATAATGGTCCTTACGACATACTAGTTTCGCATCGTCACCCCAAACGTAGGATTTTCGACGATCCGTCGGACGAGCCTACCTCGCACGCATATTGGTGTGCCGCGATCACAATCGAAAACGTCACTTATCTTGGTCAACTCATAAGTAATTGCGTACTTTTCATTCCACAAATTTATAAACGAAAACAAAAAGGTACTCAACCTAAAATATATTCACCGTCTGTGAATTTGTACAATTCTATCGCCTTATAACTGACTTCTGATTTCACTTTCCAGTTCCGTTTCCAATTTCACTTTTACGATTACTTGCGGGACGATAAAAATTTTTCAAAAGGATATTTCTTTCTCTAAGGAAACCTGAGGAGTTATCTGGCTCACTTATGACGCGCGCGGGGAACTTTGCATCCTCGTTTCCACAGTTGAATAATTTTACGTGTTATAGGAGAGCTGATAATTCGTCATTTCTACTTTTGTCCGTCGCGCGTTATACTTCGTCGAGCGCGTCTTTCGTCGACTCTAAATTTCCCAGTTACGGAAATCTATGGAAATTCCACGAGAAAACAATTATTTCGCGCGGTACGCGGCACGTTCCTCGCACTTCCTTTCGTTCGCGCGCCCCTTGATTACAGCGACAATGCAAAATAGTCGTCCCTCAGGGGCGACATTATCGGGACACACACGCAGGGTCGGTTGAATACGCGATCCAGGATTACGTGACTCCCGTTTGTGCAGGGATAACCGCAGTCCAGCTCATCGGCACTACCGTGTGGCTGATAATCGAGCCGCCAGATACCACAGAGATCCACCCGTATCCGCTGTCGGCGGTGCTGACGTGCCGCGTCTCCACGTTCTCGCTGATGATGTCCCTCGTCTACAACATGTTCCTGATACTGATGTGCACCCTATACGCATTCAAGACCCGCAAGATCCCGGAAGACTTCAACGAGGCGAAATACATCGGCTTCACCATGTACTCCACGTGCATCGTCTGGCTCGCCTTCGTGCCGATTTACTTCGGCACCAACAACGACTACAAGGTCTGTGACAGTGCGAGACGCGAATACCCACACGAGTGCCAACCACGCGAGCCTGACGGCGCGTTTTTCTGTGTTAACATGTAAAGTCGAGCGGACGGCTGCCTACGTTGCAGGTTCAGATCGCGAGCATGTGCATGTGCATCAACATCTCCGCCTCGGTCGCCCTCGGCTGCCTCTTCACGCCCAAGGTCTACCTGGTGCTGTTCCAGCCCTACAAGAATGTTCGCCCGGGACACCCCAACGTACGTACAATACTGGTCTCGTTATTCGTCCTGTCTGAGAGATGAAACGGGTATCCTGTGATTAAAGTGAGAGATTAAGAGAGAGAGGGAGAACCGAACGTCCGACAGTGTTTCCTGGATGGAATTTGGGGTGGATTTTGACCAGTGAAAATATGTCGAGACGCTAACGACTTTTTGTTAACAATTCCTTATGAACGCTTCAAATTCAACGCGAGGAGCTTAAATAAATAACGTTGTCGTTCGATTTCGAAAGCAAACTTTAACGGGATTCTATAGTTCGAGATGCGTAGCTATTGAAATATCCAGCGTCGGAATTTGGAAGAAATCTAAGGGTTGTTAATCGGGATAAAATTAATTTCAAGTTTCACAGGAAACGACGTTACACGCTGACTCTCTACCCTCCGTCCGAAATTTTGTTCATCTTCATTTTGCGCATCTTGCTCGAGTCGTCGGAATTCGAGGAACGTCCTGCATATGCAAGGATTGTCGATTTATCTTTTGTTTGTACATCTTCCCCCAAACTAATATTTTATTTCTTACACGCGTAAATAAATTTTTACTGGTCAGTGTGCACAGAAAAAAAAGTTTCTCTAAATTTAGTATTTCTATTTGATTAAAATTTGTTTCATAGAAACAGCATATAGTTACACGAAATATTATTTGTTTGAATAATGTAAAATTGTATTGTCTCGTTCAAGACAACTCTATTATTTAATAGAAAGAACGCTATTATTTGAAATAATATCTTTTAACCAGATAAAATATTATTTGGTTACAATAAATATGTAAAATGAAACAAATAATTTCTTTATAAGAAAATTGCCTTCCGTTTCGAATAAATTTTTTATTTAAGATAAAGATACATATTCGTTAAAAAGTCTGACAATCGTACGTGTTAATCGAAACATTAGTTACTTTCGAGCATGGCAATGATGAAATTTGCGTTTGGGTGCGATAAAATTTGTTAAATTTGAAGAAATCTTTTTCTCAGTGTGCTCTAGACCATATTAAACTCGGACTCGGCGCAAGCAGACGTTTTATTCTAACGTTAAAGTAAACGTTAAAGTAAACGCGTATGAATCAACGTTCAATGTTGTAAATGAGACGGCGCAATGGGGAAAATTACCGATTCGATCGACTCGCGCGTCGACAAATTTCTCTTCCAAATCCTTCCTTCCTTTTGTCAACATAACGAACGGTTAATTCCGGGCAATCGTTGAACCAAAACGGATGCCGCTGTTGAAACTGTTTGTTCCAGTTTCCATGTCCTGTCCATGAAAATTGATACCTCGCGCGAGGGTGCACCGCACCTCGACGTAATAATAGTTCGTGCAAAGATTTAATGAAATTTAACTTCGTCATACGGCTACCGCGCTAAAAGATATTTACTCTTCGAAATTCTTATTTATTTATCTATTTTGTTTGCTAATGCGACGACAAAACCGCTCAGTGTCCACACGGAGAAAAATAATCTCGCAGTTGTAGTAAAATCATCGTTGCTGCTGCATATTCGTTGCGACGACATTGAAATTCAATCGGCACAACCGAATTATCCGTAATTGGAGCAGAAACAGTTTTGCCGCCGGGATAGAAAATGTTCCGCCGAGTGAGTTTGTTCTCCGAACGCGTTAACTTGCTGTTAGAAGAAAATGTAGCGTTTTCTTACATTCGCTAATTTATTCTTACGGCGAAACAGTTTGCAGATTCAGCAAAATAATCTAACCCTGGGAATTAATGCCTCGAAATAAATCGGACGTTCCGCCTGATAATAACCGACAGACCGTTTAGCCGGCGATGAATTTTTCTCCGTGCGGGGCGCGACGAATCGATCTTACGAACGAACGACCACGCTCGGGCAATCCGCGCGCGTCTCGGAAGAGACGCATTCGGCCGATATAGAGAGACCATCACCGGCAAGCAGGTGCAAGCATCTTCTGGCGCCGTGCCACGCTCGTAGTCCGTCGCACTACCTCCCCCGTCACCATTACCACCACCATCACCACTGTGTAAAAAGTCGCAGTCGCGAGACCACCCTTGCCGTCGGCGCAGTAAGGACGCAATAAGATCCGATTCGGGCCCTCCCGCAGACGACGGCGACGAGCAATCGCGGGGCGTACAGCATGCGATTCACCGGTGGGCGCAGCCAGACGATGCAGAGCATGACCTCGGGCTCGCGCAGCAGCCCCCCGATGTCCCGCGGGGCGGGACGTGACGAGCGGAAGCACGCGAACGGTGAGACTCAGGCGCTGGCGAGTCCGTCGGTCGAGGAGACCTCCGTTAGCTAGGTCGCTCTCATACACCTCCCTCCCTGTCCAGAGCATCGGGCGAGGATGCGCGAGACCGAGGTGGAGGTGTATATCAACAACGGCGACGAGGAGGATGACGACGACGGCGGCGGCAACGGCGGCCGCAGCGGAAACGGTACCAGCGGCGACGACGAGGACGAAGAGGAGCGCAAGCTGTCGATCGTACAGGAGCTGCCGGAGCTCACGGACACCGTCAGTCCGCCGCTGAGCCTGGCGTGCCTCTGTGAGAGGAGTCACGGCGAGCCGCGCCGTCGCGACTCCTATCGTCATCAGGTGACGGATTTTCCACGCTATTGATCACGCGATCCTCATCTAGGAGGACGTGTCCGCGGTGGTTGTCGGGTGTTTTATCGAGAGAGAGAACGAGTGGGGGGGGGGGGCTATTCCATGATGTAGAGAGTCTCTGTGGTCGATATCAGCCGATCCTAATCCGCATACTCTTCTTCTGCTTTCTTCTCGAGCCGGCCGGCGGGTCGACGCGCGACGATCGCAACCGGCCGATCAGCAGCATCTCCGAGAAGGTGGAGGCGCGCGCGAGGGAAACAGAACCCTCGTGCCCGAACGACGAGATTCTGCAATACTATGACTCACCGACCTTCTCCGAGTTCTCCTCGTAGTGTTCGGAAGGTCATCTCGGAGAGTCGCGCCGGGCAGTCCCGTTCACCTTGGAGCTTGTGAGCCGGCGAGATAGAGCCCCGACCATTTCCGCCGCACTCTCAGCGTCAGTGTTTTATAAGAACGTTTTGTATCTTCCCGCGAGGTATCAGCGAGCGAGTCAGACCGGACCTTCGCTCTCAACCCTCCGCACTCGCGCGCCCCGCCGCGTGGCTCTGCGTGACGCCGCGCGCGCGACGATGTCACATCGAGAGATACACGGAAGGTCCCGGGTCGAAATTCCGAGTGCACGTTAATCCCACGCAGATCCCGGCGAATTTGGAGGAGCCAACGGGAATCCCGGGGGAGCAACACCGTGTAGGCTGTTGCTTCCCGAAGCTGCGCATGATTCATTACCGTCGTTCGGCTGAGAAAGGACTGATTTAAGATTTATGTTTTGTCTTCTTTCGTTGTCTCAATGTATGATCATGTTGAGTCTTTACGTGTTAAGGCTTAAAAAAGCACTTGTTTGAGGAATATATAAAAATGAATTATATACGCGAAGAAAATATGGTAATAAAAATTACCACGGAATTTTAGAATACTAGATATATTTATGTGTACACGTAAAATACATCACTCAAGATTACATGTTATAATTTCAGTCATAATTTCGGTATAGTCCAGCATTATAAAATTTTATGGTAATTTTTACTACAATATTTCCCCCGTGTGTGTAGTATCAATTATAGTAGAACATAACGTATATAGTTATGATATTGTATCTCAAGATCTTGGTTGATCCTCCATGTTCGACGGTATTTGAAAGGATTAATGTAGAACTTTTAAAATTTCCATTCGGGATGTCGTAATTTTTCATTGCATCACATTATTCCGAATTAAACGAGATGAATTTAAATCAGGAATGTTGGGGAAAAAATCGGTTAACTGTAAAATATCTTAGAATCAACTTATTTTCTTCTGATAAATATTTGATCTTTTGACAATTCGAGGAAAGTTTATAAGAAACTGTTATTCGTTACATCTTATATTTCCCTTAATCATCTAGAAAATGAAATATTAAAATTATAAATTTTTGCTTAAAATAAATCTTTATTTTACTTTCTTTCGCCATTAGTTTGTCGACTCTTTTTTAATTGAACTCGTTACCTTTCAAAAATTATATTGGAATTTCCACTAGAATAATACGAACTTTTTTTATATCTTTATTCGAGAATCAACTAATTGTAATAAATTTGAAAAAAAAAACTATTATTTTTGGAGAACCCTGTGTTTGACAGAAACTCCAAGTTACATCTCATAATAATAAAAACACGACTTTGATAACGTCATTAAAATAATGTATTAAAAAATTTGGTAAATTTAAATATCACAAGTAATCTCGACGCAAAGTCGTTAATATTAACGAAATAATCTTTTCGAGTGCGTGGATTGTGGCCGTTAACGCAACACGCGGAAACACAAGCTTGATGGTTGCGACGCGCCAGGTCGTTTGAAAAAAATAGTCGTTTCGCAGACTACGATTTTATATAGTTGTTCATAACTGAAACCGTCGGCTTTGCTGGTTGACGCACGAACGCTCCCACCGGTATTCAGAAAGTTCCAGCATCACGGGTGAGTTTTTGGTCCATTCATCTCCTTCACGCGAACTGCAACGCATGACCTTTTTTATATATACACATTAATAACGCGATGGATTTTGGTTTTTCGGATCGAACAATTGAAGTTTAATTTTCAGACATCTCGACGTGTAAACATTACGATGCAAAATACAATAATTGTGTGCTCGCGTTATTTTATATATGAAGCTGTATTTTTATATGTGTATTTATTGTTTAAGTAAATCGGCCGATTTTTCGCAATTGTTTGATTGTCAAATTCACCGTTCATTTAACAACGATTGAATGAAAAGCTGCTCTGGAATCCATTTCATCTTCACGTACATATTATACGGGATGTCGAAAAATTCCTGCATTGTACGGAGAGATTTTTTATATCAAGAGAAATAACTTTTCCATTTACCAAAATTGCCCTCGAACAATAATATTCGAGAAATAAGCGAATGAAGGAATAGGATTTTTCGCAAGCTAAGTTTCAGGCGAACGAATGGGCAGCAAAATTATTTTCTTCCTTCAATTTCAAGCAGACTACTGAACAGAATTACTTGAACAGAAGTACTTGAACAGAATTTTAATCTAAGCCATAGTTTTTCAAAGATGTGTTATGTTGAAAATTGAAAAGTCATAAATGATGACTTTTCTCATCATTTTCACTAAGGAAAAGTCACTTCTGGTATGAAAAATTTCTTTGTATACTGCGCATGCGGAAATTTCGGAACATTCTATGCATATAAATCTCATATCACGATAGTAAAGATTTAACATCTAATTTTTCTTTTTGTCAAACAGTAAACTCATGTTTTTTTCAATAATATAATTTTTCTAATTAAATCGTGCTCAATTAAGAAAAGTATTTTTGTGTTACTGTACTATTACTAGAATATTCTCAAAAATCTCGCCCTCCGATACTGGAACGCTGTGTACATACTTTATAATTAACATAAACGGATATATATGTCCTAGAGAATATATGCGGAAATCATTAAAATTCGATAATCAAATTAACCGAGTAAATTCAATATTCTATTGCTCGGTCGCGAATGCGGTTGTTAGTAATAGTGAGTAATCTCAATTGTAGTTGGCGTAATAGAGATGAAAATACTAATAAATAATAGTAAAGCAGCGATTACGTAAGAATGCCAGTTGCCAAATATTCAAAACAGGAATTTGGTCACAGTGCTACTGTCGTTCTTAAAGATCTATCCGTACGACCTCGTGGTTTTTATCTTTCATTTAAATTCAAAGTGATAATTCGGCCGACGTTTTACGTAAACGTAGAAGCCGCGCAAAGTTGAAATTAATATAAAAGAAGTACAAACCAACGACTAACTTATGCTACACTCTGTCCTGTTTCGTTCTCAATGTGTACAAACTTCTGCATTACGTAAGTGTAAAAGATAAAGCCCAGTCACAGATCCCGAAAAACAAACGCACCTTTAACGCGACTCGAACTCAATTCGCGATATGTATATACGCTCTAAAATTGAGACAACGACGAAGCAATTTCTAATACGCACGAGCGCAATCGCTACATCGAGTACGCCTAATGATTATTAATTAATCATATCGAAAAGTTTGGGTCGATTTTTTCATCAGATTTGGCTTTAGTGAACTCCACGGAAACAGATTATTCAATCTAGGAAATTCATTGATGAAGGATCACAGACAAAAACGACGACTAGTTGGTTCATATTAATAATGTATTCCCGTTGAATGCGATAAAATTAAATTTGACTCAAAAATCGAACTGAACTTTTCGACCAATTTCAATAAAAATACTTTTACTGTGTTTTGCGAGAAAGAGAGAAAGGGAGAGAAAGAAAGAAAGAAAGAAAGAGAGAGAGAGAGAGAGAGAGAGAGAGAGAGATTGCGCACCGACCCCACGACATTCCTGTACAAAAACAAGCCAAAATCAAAACGATTTTACTTGCAGCACGATAAGAATTGCTAGGTAAGAAAGACTCGACGAAACGTTTCGGCGGTAGTTATTGTATTAATGTTGTTATAGCCATCGCGTTTGTAGCGCGAGCGATGGCGGATTACCACAGATTATTATCGTTTCCGGAGGACACCGAAGGAGACGAATGTCTCTATTAACGCGATTTACGTGTGGCTACATCACGCATTGTACATATACGATATGCCTAAGACACAGTTCTTATTTATTTATTTATTGCACCGTTTCTTTGTTATTTTACATTAGTATTATTCAGAACGGATGTTATATGTATAATAAAAAAAAGAATCGTACGCTAAGAAACTTACGTTGCCGAGGAAAAGTTTGGATACAGCCGTTAGAAGAAAAGAACTTCTTCTTAACTTGTTTTCTTCTTAACAGAGACGAGACTAAAATTTTCTCTTTTGCTCCTTAGAAAAGTATACAAAATTGTGAGGGTGTATACGCTGCGTGTGATATCGCTCTTGGAGAAATGTAATATAGATTTTCGTTAAAACTTCAGTAAGAGAGTTTATAAAATGGCGTCATTTTAACTTTTAATATCATAATATAATATCGTGAGCGATAACTTTACTTGACTTTTTGTAGGATGATTCAAACTTCTTTTCGGTTCATAGTATATATTTAGAAAGCATCGTGTGTTTCAGCTTTTGCTCCGATGAGATTAGGAGATGAGAGAGTAGAAAGAGAAAAGGAGAGAAACAAAGAGGGGGGGGGGGGAGAGNCATCCAATGATCAAGAGAATCTGTAAATATACATATAATTACGATTAAGCGATCGCGGAATAT